TACTCTCTACAAAACAGTTAAATATTAATTTTAAGGCACTATATGACATTTCCCAGCATTTGAAATTATTTCAGGATGATCTATTTTATCATTTAAAAAGACTTTTAGCCATTTAATTGAATGAAATTAGATATATATAAATCACAAATACATCTTACAAATTATTGGATAGGGAGATAAGAGACTACCCACAGGGGTCTCATCTTTATGTTTCACTGAAAAAAAAATTAAAAGTTCAACTTTTAAAGGCTTTATAGAATATTTTAACTTTATTAGAATAACTCATTTTTTAAATATACATTTAGAACTTAACATTTATACTATTTGGTAGTCAATTCCAGAAAGTAAAGCATATATGCACTAAGGTTCTTATTACATGATAGGATTTTTATCCAAAGTGCCTCCTTTCTTTGAAGGAAAATTATTCTAATTATTTTATGTGTAATCTTACTAAAGGACATGATATGAATGGCAATAAGATTAGTGTATACTTCTTACTGAGGCTTAGTAGGACGTGTTAACAAAATTAAAATTATAAATTTCTGAAAAAAAACTACTTCATCACAGAGATGCGGACATAATTCTACTCAGGGTAGTAACACTGTTGTTATAATCAATGACGCTAGAAAGAGGTCAGTGTCATTTCTAAATTTTAAAACAGCCTGCCTTCCAGTTTACTAAGGAATTGACAGCAATTTTATTTACTCAACTTGGCTTTAATAGCAGGTAAAGTTATCCCCAAAGTACTACTGGTGTCTATACAGCAAAATTACTGGGAAAATATATTTCATCACCCTGAAAACTTAACTGAGGGCCAATCTCTTCTACTACTAAAAATCGTGTGTGTGTGTGTGTGTGTGTGTGTGTGTGCATGCCTGTGTGTAAAAGAGAAATAACCATTTGATGACATATTGTAGTTTTCTTATGTTAAACACTTTTTTTATTATATAACATATCTGAGTAATTGAAGTAACTTCACCAGACAGAAATCACATGCTGAAGCATGACAATGCGATACTAATTGCACACTGTGTTGACATTTCAAGCATAATTTCTGTAACAACATTTGCATTCATATACAGGGAGTCGAGCATGTGGGGATAATTTGGGTCATGATTCACGGTAGAAATGCATTGCTTTCAAGCTGATATTCAAACACAGAATCTTAAGCAAATCTAGTAATATTTGATGTTGTAGCATGTACAGTATTTGTATGAACTGACCAGCTCAGGACCAAGAACTGTCGTTGTTAGCCCTTGAAAGAGAAGTATCAGCATTATCTGATTACTTTCATAAGGTAGGTCTTCTTAGACTTATTAATTGAGAAAATATTTGTCTATTAAATAATGATTTTACTAATAGTTTTCAAGTTAGTAGGTGGGAATAAAATAAAAGTTTTATGTAGCTTTTCTCAGATAATACAGCCCAATTAGTACAGAATGTGTCACCAAAATAATTTTCCTTCAATATAGTATACACTCATTTATGACAAGGCAAAAAAACACCAGAAAAGGACAACGATCTCAAGCAGTAAGTTTTAATACACTACTTTTTGGTGCAGAACTATTATTTGTAGCCATGTATCTCGGTTCATATGGATCCAGGAAATTAATGCTTTTTAGGCATACAGAATTCAACCTGATTCTTAAAAATCTTGGCAGACAAACTGAATTTGATCCAATAACACATTTTAGTTGTTTTATTGTTATTGAGGCAGAAATACACCACCATAACATGCAAGGAAAATTAACATTTAAAAGGCAGGATTTCTCTTTTCTTGACTTTGCCCATGCAAAGGTCAAAATTTCAAAGAGAACTTAAAGTTAAAAAATAGGAAGAAAAAGAAAAGAAAAAGAGGTGTAAGGAATAAAATTTTGATCATTAATATGTTTCCAGATTTTTAATTTATTTATAACATTAGCTGAAAATGTTTACATAGCTAATCCAGTCCTTAAAAACTTAGATTTCTCAATTTAAAAGGAAGTCAAATTTTCAAAACCATCAGGCCACAGCAACACAATTAATTGTAGTTACATGTTTTATTGTTTAATACTGAGAACGAAGTAAACTAACTCAAATGTAAATTAGCATTACAGAACAGAAAAGGCATTTTCTGTCACTTGTCTCCAGGTATTTGCTATTATTTTTTAAAGAATATACATTTAAGGATAAATCAGTGCTGTACAGAAAACAGAAATAAAAGACTTTATGCAACTATTAATTTTTTGGTGCTTTTGAAAAGGTTAAGTAATGGGTTTACAGTTTTTAAACAGAATGACTTTGATATGTTAAAGAAGACAGCATTTGTATTAATTTATATTAAAATATGAAAATTTCAGTTAGGTAACAAAATCCTGTAATCATACACTTTCCAAATGAAAAAGAGAATTAGAATGAAGTTCTTTTCCTTATGTCTAGAAACCACAACTATCTAGCTGAGTATATATATTAAATGAAAAGAAGGTTGAGGTTTTTTTGTTTTTTTCAGTTTGGTTTATTTTAGTTTTAGGAAAGAGGAATTAGTAGAAAATGTTTTGTATTTAGACCTAATTTGGATATATGAAAAAATCTGTATAGATCTTTGCATCTGGCAGAGGTTACCAATGTCACTCATATTTGGTCCTGATATAATTTCATTTTTATTCATGCAAGGTAAGTGAAATGCTAGTAAAATAAAATTTGTTCCTACTAAAAAAATCATAATATGAATCACAGTAGTTCCTTCAACAGATTACATAAAGCAAATAGTAACTACTAACAATGCTGGATTATTAAAGTGAAAACTAATTTACAATCTCCTACCATGTTCTAAGATTAAAAGTTTGCTTTTTATTCAATTCTGGAAAGCATTCCAATTATATACAGTTCTGTAAAGCATTCCAATCTTAGATTTACAGAATGAGCCGGGATATGTTTTTTTATAACAGAATGAAAATATGCTTTCATCGTAAGTAACCAAATTCCCTATTAAAAACTCCTGGTAAGATTGAATAGCTTCTGGAGTTTTTCAGATGAAGTTATTTTCTCTCCTAAAAGAGAGAGTCAGACCCGTACTATTATTTATTCTGATATGTTCTAACCCTATGAATAAAATATTTATAATAAAAACTAAGGAATATTTTATACCTCTAAACCATTTCTATTGCCTCCAGAGACTTCCACAGTTTATTACTGTGTCTTCTCAGCTTCTCATTAGGGAATAAGCACCTCAGCAACCACAGTCCACAGCAGACCAGGTGGTATGTATAAATAATGAGCACATGGCTTTTATTCACAACTTCACCACATCAAACTAGATCAGTAAAAAAGAGGCAAATGTGGGCAATAAAATTCTAGTGCTCAAAAAAAAAAACCAGACTTAAGTAGTTAGAAAAATGAAATTTTTTCTTCAATTAGTTGGGTAGTTTCATACATTTAAATTTACTCTTGGTTTTTAATTTTTTTCTGTGTAAGCAAGTTCATCCTCATGTTCTACATTCTTCTTTTTTGTTTTAAATCAAAATTTCACTCTCGTAAAACTAAGGACAGAAGTTCCAAGGCACCCATTCTAGCAATGTAAATAACCATTTTGGTTTAAACTAATGCAAGTGCGTGGCCAACTAATTGGGTTGATATCATATACCAGACACTTAAAATTGTGTCTCATTAAAACAAATCATGAATTTAAAAGTAAATAACTAAAAATACTCCATGAAAAGGGTGACTTGCTGTTCATTCTTATAATGATTTTATCATATCTCAATTTTTGTATTACTTAATCTAAGAAATCTACAACATATTTAAGAATTCATAAAATGGACTCATAAACAGAGTTTCACTGTAACTTCATTCATCATGACATCCTTATCCTCTTTTCAACAAAGATAGTTACAAATTCTTTAGGATGCATCTAGAAAGGAAAACTATCTATTCAAATATGGACGTTAGGTAGTCATAAAGAATCAAGTAGCTAGCAAAAATTTAGTGAAGGACTTATGTTAGCCTATCACCGGTTCATGGCTTTAAAAGCAAAATGTATCTAACTTACAATTTTGGATTCCCAATTATGCAGCTTGTGAATTAAAACAGGCCAGTTTGCCTCTCTCAGCTCTCTCCTCCTGCTTTGGGGCCAGTTCTTGATTTCCTGGAAATAGCTTTTAAGATAACTGAAAGGAGATAAAACATTCATGAATTTTGCAAAGAATTAGCATCTGGGAGAAAATAAAATTGTTGGGAGGGAGAAGTTTAAACAAACTTCTAAAAGGTGAATATTGTGATTTCTAAGGAATTCCATGTCAGTGATGATGCTGTTTTTATTTTTATGGAAAACTGAAGGTTCACTCATTTTTTTTAACTGTATGCAAGAAAAGGAAGTAAATTGCTATGAAACTTATGCATAATAACTGTGGGCAACAAGAAAACTTCTTACTCTATTTTAATTTCTTTAAATTCTCAAGGGTATATCCATGACTAATAATATCTAGTAATCAGAATCTTCTACTTGCAATAATTTATATTATTGTCTATGGTGCAGTGTGAAACTCTGTATTAGACTTTGCAGTGTAAGTTGATCCTAACATTGAGAGACTTGGAAAATAAGCATCATACATTGTCCTGTAACGGCAGAATGATTTTGAAATGTCAACTCTTATACTTCTGGAGGACAGAAGAAATTGAATTTGACCATGTGTACCCATCAGAGATATAGTTTCCAAATAAAAATGAGTGGTATGAGATACAAAAATCATATGCAAAGGTTTTGTCATTACCATCATTTTCTGTTCCTGAAGAAAAGTAAAAATAAAAGCTAGTTTATGTTTTGTTTAGTTTTAACCCACTGGATTGTCTTCCATTTTAAATCATAATACAATCTTTACTAGATCCTTACTGAAAATGTACATTATCATAAGTAACTCTATTTCCACACAGAGAAATAAAAATGTTGGGGAATTAGGTTATTTTCACAGTACTTTACAGTGTGCTACATTAACAATAAATCCGTTTTATACTTAGACCTATCATCAAGCAACCCCAGGCTTCTAAATTTTTTTTATTTTAAATGGCCACTATATCTAAGAGAATTAATAAGGTATCATACTATTACTGTTTTTTCAAGTCAAAAGATGTGTTATCTAGAAAATATTTTAACACTGTAATGGGATCTTCAAGATCAATTGTTTTATATACTCTGCAGCAAAAATAACATTTCTAGTAGGAAGGTATTATAAACCTAGGGAAGTCTAGACATTCACGTATTTGTGTAAACAATTTTAACATGGTTTATTATATTTCCAGAAAGGTTAAGTCTTATACCAGTTTTCTGCTAATTCTTCTTTCATATATTATAATAAACATATATGTTATTTGAGTGAATGTGTTACGTATTTTCACACATATATTATGTCATATATACATAAAATAGCACTTAATGGGCACTTTCTTTGCATGTTTAAAATGGGGGGAAAAAAATGAATTGCTATTATGTATAACCCATGGCAATCTTCCCTTCTGCTTCACAAATGTCCATATCGAGATGTAAACAAAACATTGGAGCGAGTCATTCCAGGTGAACTGTATTTCAAGTTGTATGTTGGTGTTCTCATAAAGAATTGTGTACTTCCTGGTAGTAAATACCTAAAAATAAAAGTTTAAAAATTAGACTTTCACAAACAACTTAGTATTAACATCTCTCACTAAACTGCTATGTGGTTTGTAATTTATGGATGTTATATGAACAGTGATAATATCACAACAGTACAATCCACATTAAAAGATTTCCTCTCTCAGATTGAGGGGTGGACAAGAGGGTCATAAAGCCTCAACCAAAGAATTGAATATAGATGTGATATGTAATCTTAGTATCCCAAGACCTCCCAGAAAGAGCCACTGTACAGTACTCACATGCTAGGAAACTTTATGTGGCTCATGTTAATTTGGAATTCAGATTAATCTCCATAAATATTGTGTGAAGCCAGCCAAATATTTCTTAAAAACATGTAATATGAGAATTTGGCTAGTCATATTACCAATAATTATTTGTTCCAAGGATGTTAGAACCATTGATTATAATTTAATAATATTTCACTGATGTACTATGACTATAGGTAAACTGAAAAAAAGCTAAAGATTAACATTCATGACTAGATTATAAACTTTATATTTGTAGATCATACGGTGTTTATGATGACTGAACACCAAAAATAATCATGATAACTAGTCACATGCAACCCTTGAAGCCAAATGTATTTCAGAATACATGAATTTTCCAGATTTTTGGACAATACAGCATGTATACTATATATAACATCTCCATCAAGGCCTTGGGGTAGTACCCTGTAAACAAACCATTCATATTTCTGTTGTGAAGTTACAAATTCTCACAATAAATTGGATAAAGACTACAAATAACTTCATGTCAGTTCAGTTACTTTTGCCAATAAATTGTTTGTTTGTTTGTTTAGTGTTATAGATTTGGGAATGAGGAATTGCAAAGAAGAGTGTGCACCTGTAAAATCTGTCTTCCTCTGGGAAAACTTTGATTGGCATTAGGCCAGTACAATCCGTGTGTCTAGAGAGAAATGATCAAGTAAATCCACATGGGCAAATGCAAATAGACATCACTCTTACATTGTAAGTCCTGGTAATGATGTGGTTATGCTGTTAAACCAGGACAAAGATATCCATGAGGCATTTCCAAGAGAGGAGTAGCAACAGAAGATTTGAAATTAGTAGTTGTCTTGCAAAATAAACAATGGCAGACCATCAAAGCATTTACTTTCTTTACTTGATAATATAATTTTCCAGGAACAGTATCATACTTCTTTGCATATATGAAGGAACTGAGGGGGAAGGGTAGCATTAGCTACCTATTCTATATTAAGTAATGTTGAACCTATCATACCTCTATGTCAATGGAAAATTACATGCATAGTTGCGTTATATGGATTTTGTAGAATATGAATTCATTATGATCAAACTTTATACAGCATTCAGATTAAAATGGAAGAATTCCTCATAATATTCATAAACATCATTTTATCATAATATACTCTAAATCTATTACCTAATATCACAAAGTATAAATAATAGCTCAAATCATTAAGTTAACAGAGCAGTAAAAGAATATACAACAAACCAAATTAAATCAAAATTGCATTGTGGGTGATGAATAACGAAACAATTGATTTCTCACATCACAGATTATATGAATTATTTTCTTAACATCACTTGGGTAATTTATATGGATTATTATTTCAAGGGCTGATGGAGTCATAATGATTAATCTGATATCTTCTGCCATAGAAAGGCTACCCTTCCTATCTAGGGCAAAGGTGCAAAAGAAAATAAGGTATTTGATCAAAACCCACTATTTTGTATTAGTTGAGAGAATTATATTTTCTATTGAATATACATTCTGATTACACTAATAATTATCCTAGTAAACATTAACTGCTACCAACTTCGTTTTGAAGAATTTCAAGGAATAGTTAATTCTGACATTACAGTAGCCTTCACATATCCTTTTGAATTAAAGATCTCTGTTTCACGTATTTAAAAAAATACAGAATTACAGTTAAACTATACTATTTTATTTAACACTATTTAAAACTTGAATAGGGTTTTCTATGTGTAAAGCACTATTCTAATTGCTTTAGAAATATTACCTTGTTAGTTCTCATAACAATTCTATAAGGTAACTATTACCGTAGGCCCCATTTGATGGATGACACATCAAAGCCTAGAGGGGTCAGCTGCCTTGCTCACAGTCGCATGGCTAGTAAATGGTAGAGATAGGATTCAAATCCATGTGGTCTACAGAATCAAGGTTCTTAGCAATGATACTGTATTGTCATTTCTCTGTATGAATACCAATTTGAAAACTAATATATACAGTAATCTTATTCATTTTTTCAGAAACATGAAGTATAAAAATCTAGACAGTAGAAAGATACTCATCAACCTAAAGTTTTTAATAGAAGCAAAAAAAGCTAAATGAAACTTTAAGACTGAAAATAAAGAAAGGTTCTATATGAACTAACAAAAAAATCATATGCAATCACATTGAAAGATACTACATTTGCTTCCTTAAGCAAGTGCTGTGGGATATTTTAAAGCATTACAGGGAAACACAACATATTATTTGCCTTAATATCTCCATAAATATCTCCTGGGAGATTCCACACCAGCTGAACCTCAAAGATTGTTTCTGAAATGTTCTTTGCAATTAAGTTAAATAATGTGATTTCATTTTCTCTTTTTCAGTAGGAAGTGGATTTACAGACTTTATCTAAAGAGTTTGTGTTAAAGCACCAAAAAATGTGCGAAGTTTACAGCTTATTTTTGTTTCAGCTTGCTCTTGAGGTACAATAATAGCTAACGTGGAGCCAATTTGTATCAGGGAGAAATACCTCAGAGCACCCTGTTGCTCCATGAACATACCCTCACTCCTCACTTCTGAGACTAGAGGTGCACATCTTCATATATCCATGTATAGACATAAAACGTGCCTTTGTCTAATTCCTACTTGATGTAGAATTAGCCTGTCATGTATCAACTTATCGCTGACCATGGATGTTCTCTAGAACATGAAGAATATCAAGACTGGTAGGGAATTAGCCTTGAAAATGTAAGCTATACCCACCTTCCAAGATCTTCCTGGAGTGAGACCAGGACAGGACCCCTGACACACCAAGAAAAAACTCAGCTTTCTTGTTTGGGGCACACAAGGTAAATAAAGTTCAACACACTCTCTCTCCTGGGTTTTTAAATTTTTTTCTATGGTAAAATATATATAACATGAAACTAGTATTATCATATATTTAGGTGTACGATTCAGTGCATTAAATACATTCACAATGGTTTTGTAACTATCACCACAGTCAAGCTCCAGAACTTTCTCATCATCCCAAAAAGAAACTCTGCACCCATTAAACACTAAATCCCCATGTCCTCCTTCCCTCAGCCCCTAGTAACCTCTATTCTACTTCCTGTCTATGAATTTGTCTATTCTGGATACTTCATATAAGTGAAATCATACTGTGCTTGCCCTTTTGAGCTTCACTTAGTTAACTTAGCATGCTTTCAAGGTTCAATCCTGTGGCATAATGTATCAGAGTTTCATTCCTTTTTATCCAGGCTTAATAATATTGCATTGTGTGTATAAGCTACATTGTTTATCCATTCACCCTGTTTCCTCTTTTTTGCTATTGTGAATGATGTTGCTATGAACATTGGTGTGCAAATATCTGTTTGAATCATGTTTTCAGTTCTGTTGGGTATATATACCTAGGAGTGGAATTGTTGGGTCATATGCTGGTTCAATATTTTACTTTTTGAGGGAAGTCCAAACTGCTTTACACCATGACTGCACCACTTCACATTCTAAACCAGAAATGCACAAAGGTTCCAACTTACTGAAATCCTCAGTGACACTTACTATTTTCTCATTTTTAAAATAATAGCCACCCTAGTGGGTTTGCATTTTCCTGTGGCTTTAACATTGATTTTTGGGGGGGTAGGAGCCCTAGTTTCAAGTCCACCTCTGCCACATGCTCGCATTGTGAATCTGGATAAGCCATTTAACCTCTTCAGGCCTCAGTTTTCTCAGCTGTGAAAAGAGTCCAATAGTTCCTCCCACGCTTGATTCAGAGTAGGGAGCTATTAAGAAATATCATATTCAAAATTTCATTTTCCAGGTGTTTATTGTTGATATAGAAAAAAGTAAAACTGATTTTCATGACCTTGATTTCATCAAAATTTTTAAATTTATTTAATTTCTCATAGATTTAGATTTCTATGAATATAATTATACCCATTAGTAATGAGTTTTAGTTCTTTCTCTCAAATCTAGTGCCTTTTATTTCTTTTGCTTGACTCACTGAATAAGCTAGGGCCTCCAGTACAATGCTAATTAGAAGAAGTAGTAACAAGGAATCTTCTTATTCATCAACTCAAAGGGAAAGCCTTCAACATTTCACCATTAGGTATATTTGTTGCAAGTTTTGCAGTTAGTTATTAAATTAAGGAATTTCCCTTCTGTTTCTAGGCATTTTTTAAAAGCATGAAGGTATACTAATTCTACCAAGTGATTTTATCTGTATCTTTTGAAATGATCTTTTATGAAAATTACATTAATCACTTGTTCATGTTATTGCACCCTTAAATTGATGCAATAAACAGAATTGGTCATGATACATCATCCTATTTAAATTTCCTGAGTGCGTTTTACTAATATTTTACTGGAGACTTTTGGGTGTACTTTCAGGAGTGAGATTGAACTCTCATTAACATTTGCCATAATATCCTGGTCAGATTTTAGTATCAAAGGTATGGTAGCCTCATAAAACAAGCTGGAAAATGTACCTCCTTTTCTATTCTCTGAGTGAGTTTAATAGAATTGGATAGGGGTGACCTGTGAATCTAGAGTTATCTTTGGAGAAGGGCTTTTAATTATTCATTCAGTTTCTTCAATAGTTTAGACTATTTAGGGCTTTCTATATCTTCTTGTGACAATTTTGGTAATATGTGCTTTTCAAGGAATGTATTAACATAATCTAAATTAGCAGCATGAAATTGTTCACATTTTCTTATAACATTTTCAATGCGTCTAAGATCTATTTTTATTCTTGATATTAATTTCTATCTTTTATATTCTTGGTAAGTCTTACCAGTTATCAATTTTTTTAGTCTTTTCAAAAACATACTTTTTGCCATCTTGATCTTTATTCTGTTTATTTCATTATATTATTAACTTCTGCTCTCATTTCTATTATTTCACTTTTCTGTATTCTTTGGGTTTGATGATATTTTGTCACTTTTCAAGATGGTTGCTTAGATCATCTAATTTTTGCCTTTCCTCTTTCTTAATATGCTCATTTAAATCTATAAATGTCCCTATAACAATGACTTAACTACATAAAGTTTTTTTGTAATATTTTCTAACATTCAGCTCAAAACATTAACGTCCATTATGATTTCTTCTTTGTTTCATGGTTATTTAAAAGAGTATTTTTTATCTTTCCCAAGTATGGATTTTCTGGTTATATTCTGTTATTTTTTAGCTTAATGGCATGTGGTCAGAAAAACTACTCTGATTTCAATTTTCTGAAATTTGTTGAAATATGTTTTATATTCCACTATATGGTTGACTTTTGTAAAAGTTCCTGGTGTTCTTGGTGTATTGTATTCTGAGGTACTGGGTTCACGTCTATATATGACAGTTAGGACTGTTAATCATATTAAGTGTTCTGTATCTTTTTTTAGAAATACGTATTAAAATTTCCCTCTGTGATTGCAGATTTTCCTGTTTTCCTTGTAATTCTGTCAACTTTTGTTTTGCAAAACATCTGGAAGATTGTTCTCTTAGGAATGTAGGGTGTTTACCGAGAGCCCCCTCCTTGGCAGGTCTCAAACGCCTACTCTTCCCCTTAGGCCCATGAGTATGTCAAAAGCACTGCTCTGTACTAACAAGTATCTGTTCAATTCTATGAATTTTCAAGCAAATGTTTCCATATTTTGTCCAGCTTTTCTAGTTGTCATCAGAGGGAGGATTTGTCCAAATACCTAGTG